TTGGAAGTCCTTTCATTATAAGAAGCTTTTAGCTAAGTGGAATGAGAAATACATTTCATCTTATTCTTCCGGAGAGCACTAAAACGTTTTCCTTCTATTTTACCATAGAGTGCATCCCGAGTCTTTTCTCTCCATTAATTTTAAAGTTTCTCAAATTTTATCTGTCATGGTAAATTTGCAAGTTACCCGTTTCGATTCAATCTAAGATCAAATAATTTGTGCGAATGTTAGAATGTACCTCATTTCATTTTTCATACCTTACCTTTGATGACCCTAGATTATGCTTACAGAACGAGCTGAAAATTTTCGGCCTGATGGTTACAGCCGAAAACATCGCGGATGCAAACGTCGCGGAGAAAACAACGCAAGGCGAAAACGTCAGCATACAAAACATCGTGGGAGAAAACATCGCAAAGAGAAAACATCGTGGTACAAAATATCTTCGTCGAAAATAAAGCGGTTCAAAAACTTCGCAGTTTAAAAACATCGCTGTCGAAAATATCGTAGTAAAAAATAAAGAATCTACAAATCATCGCATGACGATAACATTGCAGATATGCTTTTTTTCAGGCTTTAATAACTGTAAATGGATATTCGCGTAATGATTTGTGAGCGAAGGATGGAAAGAAGGATAATTTTTACTTTCATATTTTTTATTAACTAATAAATGCTTGCTGAGAAAATAAGAAGGAAACTTCAGCATAGAAAATTAATGCAACTGATAGTACTTAATAGAATTTTAAACCGACATAGTTAACTAACAAAGGCCATTTAAAGTTTTTACTGGTAATTTTTCATTAAAAGTATAATCTATAAATTGCATTTAATTGGGAATAAGAAGTATAATGGTTATGAATAGTGAAGATTTCATAGATTAAAATGATTGGAGAGGTAATAAAGAATAAGAAGATATTAGTATTATATATATAGCCGACATTAATAATTAAAAAATGGAAATTAATATTACAAGAATACGAAAGCGTGCCAGGCGGCTTCCAGGATAATATAATATTTTTCATCTAATTTTTCAATTTGAAGCTTTTCCTATATATGTTATGTGTTGTATTCAGTGTCGTTAAATATAACATATACAGGGGTTGGACAAAAATATGGAAACACCTTTAAAAAAACATGTTTCTTTGCTTAATATGGTGTAGGAAACCCGTCGGCATCCAAAACAGCTTGCAGTCTTCTCGGAATGAATAAATACAGTTCCTGTATGTTTGCCAAGGGAATATTATACCATTCTTCCTGCAAAACGGTGGCAAGTTCAGATAACGATTTGGCGGTGGATAACGAGAACGCACTTTCCGTTCCAATGTAGACCACAAAGGTTCGATAATATTCAGGTCTGGTGACTGTGGCGGCCAGGGGAGATAGGACAACTCATCCTCGTGCTCAGAAAACCAGTCCTGGACAATGTGAGTTGCGTGAACAGGGCTTTGTCGTCTTAGAAGACACCATCACCATCGGGGAACAAAGTTTGTACCATGGGATGAACTTGATCGGCCAAAATGTTCACACAAGTCTTGGCAGTCATGTGCCCTGACACAGTTATCATGGGGCTAGCAGAGAACCACGATATGGCTGCCCAAACCATAACAGAACCCCCGCCATGTTTCACTCTTGGCAACAAGCAGTCTGTATTATAGGCTTGAGATGGCGTTCTCCAGACGTAAATTCGGACAGAAGTGGGAAACAATGTGAAAGAAGAACTCGTCAGACCATATTACTCGCTTCCACTGCTCTATAGTCCAGGCTTTATGACTTAAACACCACCTTTTCCTGTTACGGGCATTAGCATCACTGATGAGTGGCTTCTCAATTGCAGCACGGCCAGCAATTCCCTGGTTATTAAGCTCTATTCTAATTGTTTTGATACTCGCAGGGTTCGGTAACACAACATTTATTTCAGCAGTAACATTTGCAGCTGTGGTCTTCTTATTTTTTGTCACAATTGCCCTTAATGATCGTCTGTCACGATCACTCAGGACACACTTTCGTCCGCGCTGTGATTTAGCAGATCATGTTTTTCCGCTTTTCAAATATGTGGAATAAATCTTCGATACAGTACCTCTTGAAACACTAAACACCTCGGCTACCTTGCTTACGGAAGCACCTACCATACGTGCTCCAACAATTTGTCCGCGTTCGAAGTCTGTTAACTCTGACATAATGCAATGACAACCTCACATAACAGTACTCCGACAACAACTGAACTGTTTAGCACATTTACGAAGTTGTATAGGTGGCATCAGTAGTCAAAAATGCCAGCGCCACCTCCATATTTCATTAAAATCAGTCTTTCTTTTCAAACATGCATTTCACAAGGTGTTTCCATATTTTTGTCCATCCACTGTATTAACACATGCCTGTAACATATTATTCATTCTTTAATTTTAGATACATTTAAGGTATAATTAAGTATTTTTTTATTAAAGTATTTAAAATCTATTTCACAACATGTGTTTGAATTTTTATTTTTTAATTCATTTTTTAACCTGCTTAATTTTTTTTAATTACGAGCTAGTATCAAGAAATGGTTGATTTACTCTGTTAGAACTAAAAGTGTCTGGTATTTTAATATTTCAAATTTTACTAAAATTTTAAACAAACGCTTTTCATATAATCAAATACTAATTATTGTATTTGTTGCGTTGAATCCGAATTTCTAGATTTTTTACTAAGCCCAAACAGCCATGTCAGCATCCTGTGTGAAAATCTTTTGTTCTTAATCCAAAATACAGCACAATACCTGCAAGCAAAGAGTTGACGAATAAGATTAGAAATTAACAACAGTGGTACGTCATATATAAGATAAACTACTATTATTATCCACAAATGGAAAAAAAAAACTGAAAGCTTTCAGAAGCATATTACGCCTAAAAGGGCTTTATTAAACACCATGTTCTTCGCAATTAAAACACATAAAATTCAATTCAACAGCAATATCACAAAACATTTAAAAACAGCATATCTTTAGAATTTCCGATACACAGTCTCGCGCGCTGAAGATAATTTTTTTTTCGTACAGTGTTGCCATTGTTCGCTTTCAAGTCGTTGAGTTTGTTAATCAAAATTTTGTTAAAGTTTAATAAAATGTGAAATGGATAATAAAACAAATTCGAAATTTAAAATTCGAGCTCCTAAGTTCCCATGTTCGGTTGGAGGACTACGTTATTCAGAATTTGATACTGTTTTTTCACAATGTGAGAAATATTCATTATTTAGTTTCTTTAAATATAGTGCATGGCGATAGTATTTGGTGGCAACAGTTTGAAAAGTGAAACTACGCAAAATGTCATTTTGAGACTGAAAGGCATTTGGGTCTAATGCCTTATTTAGCTAAAAATTATTTTGAAAGGAGAAAGCAAATTTCTAATCTTAAGTTTCAATAAATCGTTTTGTGCCTTAGATGATTCATGCACTATTAGAATACAGGTAGCGCTTTTCCCAGGTTACATTTTTCAGTTAGACACACAGCAGCATATTCCTCGGTTAGACAAAACAGAAATGTCAGATAACTGAATGCGCGTTTGATGAGTAACCTCGAAAAGTACGAGATGCTAGATTATATTATATATCATAAGATTATGAAAAAGTGCACTGTCTGTCCAAGGAGAGGTATCTTTCGGGAAGGACTTCCAATAGAAACTTGTTGAAAAAAAAAACATAAAACTCAAATATAATCAGTTTCTTCCAAACGGTTATGAGCACGGGTCGAAAAGCAGTTTCCAGCGGTGATATCCGTTCAGCTGCTAGTAGATTGCAAAGTGTTAGATGTCCATATTTGCAGCCTTCGTTTTATGCCTTTTAAAGTTATACATAAAAAAGTACATTCGGTATACAGCACGTCCCCAATTATTCCAAAATTCGTACATGTTCATTACCAGATTCTTATACATGAATGTACTTTCCAAAACGTTCATGCATGTTAATTGGGAAATAAGATAAAGCCATTCCTCGAACCGTCAGCTTAATGACACAATGAGTCCTCCCCCCCTCTCCGAACCAGGCCCAGGGTTCAACTCCTGTTCTCGTATCTTGGAGAGACTGGCGCCATCGCACCTAGGGCAACACAAGCCCCAGGGAGACAATTGTCGTCTATTTCTATTACCAGTTATCTATCTACCAGTTTCTTGAGGTCTACGACGTGCCAGACCCACGGCCTGACCAATAAGTGATCTTTCAGGGGCCTTTAGAACCACTTGGTTTGCAATTTGTATACCCCCGTGGCCTAGATTGCCTAGGTACAGATTCTAGTCAGTAGCTTCGCAGAATTCTCTACATCGACCCCTAAGGGTCCCATAACTAAGGGATAAATATAAAGCTCTATGTAGTCAATTCTTTTAAGAAGCATTTGAAATATAGATTTTGTTTTACAGGAGTGCTCTTGTTTCAAGTTTCACCATTGCTATATCCAAGAATATGTATATAAAGAAGGAAAACTTCCATAGACGTGGAGTAAACCTGTATATCGTGAAAGAGCAATCACCCAATCGTCAAATGAACAGGAAATTGAGGAATACGGTACAAATTCGAAGGATTTATAGGATTCGTTCTTTGACAAAAAATTTTGCGATAATTTAAACTCGGATTTTCGTAGATTTTATTAGTCAAAATAAATAATCTATTAATTAATGTGCTTCCTCTGATCATTGATTTCATTTATGTCGATACGGCGGGAGGAAAAACGGTATAACAGAAGTTTTAATTCTTCTATGAATGTGACTTTCGAACATGGCTCGAAAAATATTTCGAACATGCACGAAAGGTTTGACACCGGTTCCAGAACTACTATTTCGCAAATTAAGGCTGGATGGTCAGCCCTGTTTCCCCTCTGAGGTCTGAGGGAGCCACCTCTACTTTATCGAAGTTTTCCTTCTTAAGATACATATTCATTGACTAAACTACAAGGATGGTATTAAGTGATAATTTAATTTTGAAAAGTGATAGGTTACTATATGATTTTTGTACAGTGACTATACTTTATATTTTAGCTCCAGCTGGTTGGGTTCAACTATTACTTCAGAAGAAGAAAATCTCCTTATTGTCGCAGGGGTCGCAGGAGCTATAGGAATTTTACTAATTATTCTTTTAACAACTGCTGTGGCCATCGTCCTTAAACGCCGCATGAAAGGTAAGAATATTTTTTTTATTTCTTTATTTGATAACGTAAGTTAATATTTAAATTTGTTTCAAATATACTTCTAATCGTAAGAATTATTCAATGAAATTGAATAATAATAACATTTCATCACTTTTTTGTCGTATTAATATTTCAGTGCTGTATTTTACAATCAGGATTCATACAAAATTTTAATGTAAAATAAACCGTTAAATATTGGGAAAATGTGTTAATTTTTTTTAAAGAAAGAAAGAAAACATCTTTTTACTCATCATCAGTGGAATTTTGCAGTGGGACTTCGTACTAGAATAATAATAGCTATAATTATGATTAGCATAAATTAAACAATAACCCCTTTCTTTCATTATATTTTCTGATATTATTCAATTTACACGTTTCAGCATAATTTAGGAGAACAATATATCATTTAATGCTAGAATTAAGCCTGTAACATGTTATCTCATTAAAAAGGAAATTAACTAAACGTTATCCGAAACTAGCTTTTAACCATTAACCTTTAAACCGTGAACCGTTGTCCCTCAGCCCTGAACATAACTTGAATCTTCGAAAAACATTAAAAAAACTCTTATTATATTAATTTAAAGGACTACATCACTGGCTTTCCAACTTTGTTCCCCGGAACCCCGAAATTCCGAGCGTCAAAATACAAATTCCAATGTAAATTATAAAGCACTCAAATCAGTTGACTAGTATTTATTAACTAAGAAGTTAACAGATACAATTAGTTACTGATAGAAGTAATAAGAATGCTAAGAAATGTATACCAAGAAACGTATACTATACAAAAAAATGTATACTACAAATAAATCTTAGAATAATACAAAGAAATGTACAGGTGCATTTAGTTACAGATAAAAATAAAAATTCGAAAGCAAATTATAAAGCACTCAGATTAGTTGACTAGTGTAAGATTGCTGGAATGCCCCCCAACCACCTGATCACGATCCTTATAATTTTAAACCTTATACCTTATAATCTTAAAGGGGAACCCCATAAAACTAAAAATAACTATCTAAGAAAAATATATGAACTAGTGTATATTAACTAAGAAATTATGTATAGATACATTTAGTTACAGATAAAAATGATAAGAATACTAAGAAACGTATATAAGGTATTTCTTCCGCCTTCTTGGCGTGTCTTCGTGGTGTGGTGGTCTGCACCCTCGGCGCGCGTTGCCGAGGTCCGCAGTTCGATTCCCGACGAAGGCTTTGCTCATTTTTCATCTTGCCTGCTTCCGAAAAAAATCATAATGTCT